CCCCTCTACGAATACTAGCGGGATAGACGGCGGAACTAACCTTCCAAAGGCCTAACGGTGAAGACGAAGGTGATTGTTCAATCTATGTCGTGAATCTGAAACCAGCGATATGGTTTCTCCGGACTCTGATTGGGGAAAGGTGATTGTCCCTGTTCGGTACGGTTCAAGTCTACAAGAGCATTGACTAAAGCTGGGATTCACGAGACTGATATGGCCTCTAATCTTCGAGCTATCAGTCTTGACGCCACCGCACGCAAAACGAGTTATAATCCTCAATCAAGACACGGAACAGTTAACGTATGTCGACGCCCTTCCGTTCTTGAATTCCCTCTCATGTTTTTTGGAAACGTAGACCTTTCCTCGTTCTAAAAATGGACTGAAGGTAAGGTAATGTTTCGCTTGTCAGCGCGAGTCCGTCTGATCAACTAGATCTCTATCTTGTCTAGGCATCCGCCCGAGATAGCTATCCGTGCTTGTGCTCAACGTCAATCGAGTACCGATCTCGTTAAGAGTCTTGACCTCCCTCGACAATCGTGAGAGAGGTGAACAGAGGCATGCTCATGTTGGCTGGGAAGCTGCGCTCCCAACTGATCGGTGAGTATTAACCATCCATATTTGGCTGAGTGGCGTAATAAAGAACCTTTCGTTTTCCTGCTCGCAAATTACTACGTTCGTGAGATCATAGACGAAAACGACCATCCTAGTAGTCGATCAATTGTAAGCAGGTTTGCGCACATACGATTTGTTTTCAGCCGTGAAGGTTTCCTTCGTCCAATTTACGGTTTCTAGAGTTCGTGAGTATCTTTCTCACCAGTTGACGTTAACCGGCTGACATTCTTATGTCAGGAAGGGACTTCAATTTTTGCACCGCTTGTAAGTAGTATTCTTGGAGCCCGGAGCTCAAAAAATTGATCATAATGCGCCGATCTCCGTGCAATTGTTTTAATTTTGCCTCGATGCCTCGCGGACGGACCATACCGATTTATCTTTCGGCATTACCGATATTCCCATGGATCGTGGCCACCCCATTCTCTCAAACAGGAAACTCACCATGTATATAGCACGATGCAGCTGACTAACCTCGCTTCTCTTATTCTCTTGCACTCATGTCGAAAATTCCTGCCCTTCGGTCACTCTCGCCTCATAGATCTCCCAGTTCAGAACAAATAGACCCTCCTCTCTACAGGTAGGAGCTTCTTCACCGAGGCCACGGCATTGTCCTTACCTCTCTCTTTACAATCAGCTGCCGAGAAGCCATCGCAGTCATTACCAAAAGTCTCTCTCAACTGGACGACTCGGGCAGCATCGCGGACAAATTACTTGACCTGCGAATCGCCGCAGGAGAGCTCGACTCCTTTCTAGGCGAACTCGAATTAACCCCAGGCGCTTGGTGAGTGTGTTCTGCGATGCCATGATGCAAATCTTGACCCCAACCCTGCACGTTCAACTCTTTCAGCCTTTCATGGTATAGAACAGAGGGCTCCGACTGTCTTGTACAGATCTTGATGACCGGAGCACCCCATGAACTTACTGCTACTGCTTTCCGAATGCTCCTCGAGAAGGGAATTAATCATAGTGTACCCAGTGACTTGGCCGACGGCTTAACAACGTTTGAAGTCATGTTTAGATACGCCTACCGTCTCAGTCTGTTCTGTCGCCCTTTCTTTTGCTCGATCTGCATTGACCCAATATACCTCTAGGAAACGAAAATACTAGGGAAGGCTCCACCGACATGTCAAAAGTCCCCGATTTCGGGCTTATACCCAGAAGGAGGTCAATAGAACTGGGTTGCTCAGTGCCAACCGAGATTTCCGTTGGCCTACCCGAAACCTCACTCATTGAAAAGGTCGAGCGCTGGCTAAGTGAACATCCCTATGTGAGTGTGATTCCCTCGGCACATCTGAAAGTGCTTACTTTGAGGCCAGGTAGAGAGTGCTTTCAGCGTCCGCATTGACACTGAAACTGCCGATGGGGCTATTACGTTCACCGTGAGGGATCCAACTGGTGTACGTGAAGTCTTCAAGATTGCAATTTGGAAAGGCATGTCCCTACAGGACTGCGAAGAAGCTGTTTCCGATTGGAATGTTCTATTTGGGGACTTCTTCATCCGGGATCAGGTCTTTGAGTACACGCGCTCACAGCTCAAAGACGATTTGTACCACCTCGCAGTGCAGGAAGAGCCACTGGAGCCAGAAAACTTGATGGAATTACCTGTTGAAATCACTGATCTGATGCTCAAGACGTTTGTGGACGAAGCCTTTTTGGATATGCCAGCACGTCAGCCAGCACCCCGAAAAAGGCCCACGGAAGATGAGAACACTGAGATGGTCAGAGCTTTCGAGGAGGGGCTGGCTGAAAGTCGGAAATTGCATGAACAGAACAGGGAGAGGAAAAAGCGCCGCCATGGTAGCACAATGTAGGGTATATAGACGCAGGCCTCTAGAAATTTACACTTGTTGTTTTCATTTCTTCTCGGTGGCCGGTCTCCGTTTTTTCCTTTCCGACTTTGAGCTTTTGTTCGCTCTCTCGTCTCAACTACCCCGCAGATTATCCCTCGGTCAATCCCTCCTTGTGTTCATCATCGGCATAGACGGCTCGCACGCCCGGTTGCATAGCCTGTGCCTTTCTCTCTTCGCGTGCTTGTTGGAACTCTTGCGAGACAACGCTGTGGAAGGACTTTGTGCTCCACAATTTGACAGTCAACAAACATCCGTGTTCGTTATCAACCCCTCTCTGTCCATCGCATTTCTCGTAGTTTCATACCTTTTCATATTCTCACTTTCTATTCTTTTGATTCGTCCCCACTCTCGCTTACCTATAATCCCATTCCCCGCTCTTCACTTCTACTTCCGTTCTCAATGACTGAATTCCCTGTCCGCCCCATCATGATCACACAGCCGTCCAGCCGAACGGGAGGAGCCTGGTGGACTTTTCGGTGTTGATCTCTTACGCTCGATGGCAAGCCGACAGTGGATTGATGTCTGACAGGGCGAATTGGGAACAACCCATGCACACTCGTTTTAGATATTCACACGCGTTTCATGTCGTTTAGCGGTTTATATATCAATCCCACGAGGACTAGGACAATGTTATCGTGCTCTCTGTGCCTCTATCTGTGATCTTATGTGTGTTTCTCATCTTCAAACCTTCTCGCGCAGTTTTTGCGCATTCATCTTCTCATCACTCAACAAGCACTCGTACTCACATCCGACCGACTCCGGACCGCTCACTCCCCGGACGCAATTTCCTGATTCTGTGGCGAGTCGCGGAAAGAACAGCGCTCGATGGTCTAGGAGCCGAGGTCGACCTTCAATGATACCACTGACACCCGAACGTTCTCACTTCACGGAACTGACCACCTAGTAGTTTCACAAAAATAAAAACCTCGTGCTGGCCTACATATTAAACAGACACTTATCTCAGCATTTCCAAACAACTTTCGCATCTTTTCTCGCTGCGAGGTCCAGCGGAGAGTATCGATTTCTATTTCTCATGTCACTCCTAAGGTTATTCACGGGGGACTTGGGCGAGTTACAGTTGATAGGAGGATTTCATGACGACTCTAAGTGCGTATCTGAGTATCCAGGAGTATTGAATGTCTGATCATCCCCGCGTATCAGATCTATACAGGGAGTCGATCGACCTGTATTCCCGTCGATGTGTAAGGGTCGATAAGGGTAGCCGTCAAGAGCCTCCAAGGCCCGAAGTTGTAGATTCTGAGAGCTCCTCATTGAATGGGTATTTGGTGATCACGAGGACCACTGACTAGAACGAACCTGCCCGAACCTGCCATGAACCGTCTGATTATGACTCTCTAAGTACTGTATCGACCTTGAAGTCAATCTAAATTACCTTTCGCAGTCAGAACATCACTGTCTACTAAGATAGCGTGTATCATCCTCCTACTCGGAGCCTCTGACATATCAACATCGATCATTACTTCGCGATAGTTCACGGAACTCAAGCCTTGATACATTCGATCTCGAGGATTTTTTTCCAGTGATCGGTCGGAGTCTCACTCTTACATGAGTGATCAAGGGCTCGAACAACTATTCGAATGCTCATCAAGTGAATACCAACTCCATTAGAGAAAATCGTCTTCAGCAGTGGTCTCACAAGCCATTCTACGTTTAAGAGCGAAAATATTGTCTGCGGGAGATGATCGATGACTTGTAGCCCCATGCTCACACACTTACGAGACGTTGGGTATCTTGTATGTATTTTTCGCTTACTCATTTATTGGGCAATCAGCGGCTCTCAAAGTCAAAGATGTGGTTGATCAAAGCTCTTCGTCGCCTCCAATCTCTATGGTCGAGTGTTGTGAGCTTAATTAAATGATCATTGATTCGGGGAAGGAGGATTACTTGGGCTTCGTGCCAGCGTCGGACCCATTTAGATTAGAGGCATTGTATTTGACCTAGCTGGATGCCTGGCGTGAGCCCGAACGGAGCATTAAGTGGATGGAAGTGCGGTTGTACTATCCGAGGCATTTGAGGATTATCAGGTTTTGCCTCCGGTCTCGCGAGCTATGCTGCTTTGGAAGTTTGTGATAGAAGGAGTCAGTCATCCGAATACGAGTCGTTCCCGATATTCTACCTGCGACAAACCCTAGTGATTCAATGTTCAATAATGATTATCGACCTACAGAGAAGCGACTCTCTGAGACGCTGGTTGATTATATTCGATTGAGGTAAATGCCGTGTTAGACGAGAATTTCGACCTTTCTATTCCAGATATCGATAAGCACCGAAGGCCTTTAAACATAGTTGTAATCAGGAGTCGGCGAGTGTGAACCTGAGAGTAACTGAATACATTTCACGGCTCAGAAGTACGCCGAGATGATATTTTCTCGCTCGATGAATATGATCAGTTTTTGTGAATCTTGAGCAGCTCTGGAGGTTAGATGGACCCAATCTATCGAGATTCCATAGCTCAGGATGTGAAACGGCAACCAATTGAGATGCAGTATCATGATGGCACAGGCCGTGGATTTACCGAACGGCCTGATGGTCTAGTAGTATGATTCTCCCTTCGGGTGTCGTGCCTGTCTCATGAGAGATATAACTGGGAGAGGTCCCGGGTTCAATTCCCGGTCAGGCCCATGACAGCACGGACAGATGTCTTCCTTTTGCATCTTCATAGTTCCTCGTACATGAGTCTGTGTGAGGATGCTAGGTCTCGTTTATTACGAGCGAGATCCTCGAGAGTCCAGTCCACTCGAACTCATCCACCCTCCAAGTCCGTGGTTCTTCACTACATCTTTATTACGGTAACATCGTTGGTCAACAGCTTTGTAAAAGATTAGGATCGTTAGTTCACAGCTTTCTGAATGCTTCCCGGCGCTGACTGATTTCCAGTAGCTCGACCCGGACCGATTGTAAGGAGAGAGGAGTAATGGAAGCAATAGCGGCGTGAGTGTACGAAGGTGTACGAGCGTCATTCCGAAGTTCATTTGCTGCGCAATGTGGACCTCTTCTGTTTTTAGCCGTGATCACTGATTAGAGATGTGAGAAAAAACATACTTTTGCAGATAATTAAGATTGACGATTAGAGCTACGCTTCTTGAGTGATAGCCATCTCTCCCGCTACGCCTGCGTCCCGGTTGAAACACGTTCCTCGTTCCTCCCCGCCCCCGCTCGCCCAGCGTTCGGGGACCGGGGCGCGTGTTTCGAAATCCCGCTTCGTCCGAGAATTCCGATCAACTGCCGACGGCGGCGATCCCAGCGGCAAAAGACATCATGGGAATGAGTAATCAGGAAATATATTGCTCGTTCCGGAATTCAAACTCTCGCTTGAACTCCCATCTGCTCGACGTTTCCTTTCCTTCCTCCCTCCAACCGTTTTACTTCTGCTGATCATTGCTGTCGTGAGGTATGTGAACTATTTAGCCGCGCTACCTGGGTATTTAGCTGATGAATGATACAGATAGTCGCGACAAAGCAAATAGGGAGAAATTGACGGCAACACAAGGGCGCACGACGCCGACGGAGAGGAACCGAGGTTGATTGCAGGACGACAACGAACGGATCCAACGGAAGGGGAGCGACGAACGGGAAGAGAACGACGATAGCAACGATTACCCATTCTGCGAGAACCAATAAACCATGTCATCACCGTCACCGAGTACAACATCCGCAGCGGATGCAAGCGGCAGCGACAGTCTGAGCTCCACGCCAACGACGTCAAACACTTTTTCAGTATCGCAAACGTTCTCACAGCCGTTTCCGTCATCAACGTCAACGCCAACGTCGACAGATAGACCTGGCAGGGGGGGAGAAAGAGGAGGAGATTCTACGTTTGGGAATACGAGTGCCTCGCTGTATTGTAAGTCGTCATTAGTGTTCAATTTAGTCTCTTTTTTGCCCTTTTTCGTTCTGTCTCGTTTTTATATCATCTACCGGGCCATCTTGCTCGGTTCGCCTAGGAACATCCATTGGAAGTTCAGACGACGACCTGCCTACCTCCTTGCGGCCCCCACGGCTAATAGTATCCTGTTCCTTCTGCTCGTACAGTGTGCTACATGCTGCACTCACAATTAACGGGCATGAGCGGCAGAAGCGGTCCTTTTCGTTCCTGCGGCCCTTTCTCGGTATCTCTTTGGATCCGATTATCCTTGATCCCTCTTCTCTATCACTGGCACGCCGAAACGTTGACCTTGTCGTGCCATATGGTTTTCGCCGTGGTCTTTTCGTTGCTATTTCTTATTGTTTGGTTGTGTATGGTGCTTCTGAAGCCAACGGGCTGTTGTCGAACGATAGCCGTACGGTTGAGAGATCTGTTTGGTGGTTATCGTGTCAGGGTTTTCTATTCTTGATTTTTAGCTTGGGTTCGTTTTTTGGTTCGCGTTCTGCGCCCTTGTTTCCTAGCCATATGCCCCCCCCCCGCTCCCGGGAGCGGGGGGTTGCGCGGACTTTGCTTTCCCGTCTGCCAGATCCTCGCCTGCGCGCACTGTCCAGGTTGCGCGGACCCTTGTTCCCGCCTGCCACAGGTTGCGCGTACTTTTTTTCCCGCCTGCCAGATGCAGCTCCTGCCCTGCTCCCGGGTTGCGCGGACTGTTTTTCCCGTGTGCCAGCTGGTTGTGCGTACTTTTTTTCTCGCCTGCCAGATGCAGGCCCAGGTTGCGCGGACTCTGTTTTCCATCTGCCAGGTCCTGCTCCTGGTTGCGCGTACTCTACTAGCCATATGCCAGATGCTGCCCCCAGGTTGCGCAGACTCTTGTTCCCATCTGCCAGCTGGTTGCGCATACTCTTTTTGCTGTCTGCCAGATGCTGCTCCTAGCCATATGTATACCACCTATAATGGGATCCAGACAGGCTGTTTGGACCCATACTAAGTACTGTGTGCATGCGCAACTCACAAGTATACAAAAAGTGTACAAAAAGCACCCATAGCAAGTCTACAAAAGTGTACAAAAAGCGTTCAAAAAGCTTACACTAAGTGCTCACAGCAAGTGTACACAAGTGTACAAAAGTGTACAAAAATTAGTTACAAAAAGCGCAGCAAGAGTCTATCTTTGTAGGGCGAAACACTAGTCACGTGATTTTCCCACGAAATGCGAGACGTGATTTTCGTGTCTTTTTTAAAGAGAAGTGTGACTGTGGTGTGACATTACAGAAAAACACGTCCAGTATGCGGGAAAAGCGTGTTTTCCATTTTCAGAGGCGGTCATGAAGTGGAATGCGCACCAGTGATAAGACCTGTACTGAGCTACAAAGTCTACAAAATTGGTTACAAAAAGCGTACTATGAAGTCTACAAAATCAGTTGCGAAAAGCGCACTAGGAAGTCTACAAAATCAGTTACAAAAAGCATACTAACAATGTCTAGAAAGTTGTTACAAAAAGTGTAACAAAGTCCACAAAAGCGCAGTAAGAAAGCGTAACAAAGTGTACAAAATTAATTACTAAAAGCGCACCAACAGTCTATGAGAAATGGGTTATAGGATTGTACTTGAGTGTTATGAGCGCAGTCAGACTGTTTGTAAGTAATTTTTTCGGACTTTGTAAGTAAATTTGAAGACTTTTTGTATGGAATTTTTGGGATGTTGTAGGTGACTTTTGGAGAGTTACAGAGTGTACAAAAAGTGTACTACACAAGTGTATCAAAATTAGTTACAAAAAAGCGCAGCTACAGTGTACAAGTTGTTATAGGAATGAGACGGATAGTTATAGGATGGTATTGAACTGTTGTGAGGGATGAGTCTGGAATAGAAAGTGAAGTTTTTTTATGTGATTTGCGAGTTGTTGTGGTGGGGTAGGTAAGTAAATTTGTATGATTTTAGTAGGGGATTTTTTCGAAGTTGGTAAGTAAGTTTGTAGGGTATTATAAGGAATTGTTGTATGATTTTTGTAGAGTTTTGAAGATGTATGGTAGTATGATGAATGGTATTGTTTGTGTATCTGCAGATGCAATGACAAGTATTGTAAGGGCAGTAGCAGTATGCATAGTATTGTATAGTATCAGAAATGGTAGAAGGGATTATTGGATTGTTGATTGGTTGATTGTAGTAGATATGAGTTGTTGTAGGTGATAACAAGCCCGGTATTCATACAGTATAGCATTATTGAAGTATATTATAGATGTAAGCCCGGGTTAGGGGTTAGGGGTTAGGGGTTAGGGGTTAGGGGTTAGGGGTTAGGGGTTAGGGGTTAGGGGTTAGGGGTTAGGGGTTAGGGGTTAGGGGTTAGGGGTTAGGGGTTAGGGTTAGGGGTTAGGGGTTAGGGTTAGGG